TGCCTATAGGTAAGAATATCTCACACTGGCTCTCTGTTGCTTCTCTAGGAGCATTCACATTCATTTTGTGTCAGTACATGGCCAGGCACCTAATCACATTCTTCAGATATTGAGCATGGCGCCATGTGCCACTGTCAGCCCTACATCACCTCTAGGGTGTTTCAGTCTTAAGATGTATTAATGCAAATGTGTAAATGTCAGCGGGCTCATATTATTTATGCATACCAATCATTCAAAGGGGGGGAAGATCCATTTTGGTCCAGATTATTTTGAATATAAGACCTTTAATTCCAAAGTTTTCTGGTTTGTTGAAGGTTGTTTCCCAGAAGAATATTTGGTTAAGTGAAAAATACAAAGGTGACCACTGCCCCAACGACCTAGAATTCCAGAGAAAACTGGGCCCCAGAGCATGAAGAAAGAAAGGACAGCTGCCTTCTCTTTCTGTTCTCTCAGCCTTTCCCACAAGGTCACTCTTTCTAACTGACAAGCCAAATAATTTTAGTCGGTAACTGATAAGAAAGCAAATTAAATTTCATTTGGTTTGAAAAAGTATTCCAGTATGCTATAAGTTGATCTAAACTCATTCTAGGAAATTTAACACTACATATATTTCTTCTACTACTTCATGTTTCCTCAATGAAGAATCTCTTAAGACAAAAAATAAAAAGCACTGGAAAAAACAAAAAGGTGTGCACCTTACATGGGGGAGGGGTTTATACTTCTTTAAAAGGATTTTGACAGTTAGAAAACACAAGCAGAGAGCCAATTTTTTCTTTGAGAAACTCCATGTAGTCATTTTTCTATCATGATTCATTTTAACTACTAGAGACATAGTTTTTTTTTTTAATTCTATAAATCATACATCATAATGGTGACATAACCTCTCCATTAAAAACCTAATGATGGGAATGAGCACTTGCTAAAAAATTTCAGGAAGTTCAGGCAAATCAACCAAAGTAGCTTTACAACAAAAGTCAAATTAAATGGACATCCCTTTTTCCTTACTCCCTTATGTCAGCAATGGTATATCTACTGGACATACTCCTATTTACTTAGGAGAAAAAAATATTTATTTATTTAAAGATTTATTTATTTATTTGAGAGCAAGAGAGAGAGAGCTCGCGAGCAGCGGGAAGGGCAGGGAGAATTAGGAGGAGAGAGAATCCAAAGTAGACTCTTTGCTGAGCATGGAGCCCCCTGTAGGGCTTGATCTCATGACCCTGAGATCACGACCTGAGCTGAAATCAAGAGTCAGACGTTTAACAAACTGAGCCACCCAGGTGCCCCAGGAGAAAAATATTTAAAACTTTTGTTAGGATAAAACCAACACACACTTTGTGAGCGTGGACCCACATGAATGCTTCCCATTAAAACATCTTCTTTGATGTTAAATAGTCTTAAAATGCTGACAGTAATAATATTGTGCATTGTGGTATCATTCTTATTCTAAGATTGTTGTGTGTATGCTGTGGGATAAAACAGATGAGTAATTACTTTGGTGTCTCTAGGACCTGTGATTACCAATACGGCAAAAAAGGAGAAACACGTGTAAGATACATGAGGTAAAACACGGTGGCCCTGAATCTGAACTGGAAATTTCAGTTTGAACACATAATGATTTTATCTTTAAACAATAAATGCAGCATACATTGTTTCTATACTAGCTGTGTCCAATGAAAAGATCAAGAAACAAAGACAAACCTAGTAGTAATGAGCACCTGCAGCACCAAGATTATGCTCTCTTAAATGCTAAAAGGACCAAAGTTCTTTGGAGAAACGTCTGGATCCAGGTTTGCATCGTAATATATACAAGAAGAGCCTGAATCATCCTATAATACCAGGAATCAAAGAAGCTATCCAAAATTACTAACGGCATGTCAAAAGGACTCTAAAACTAATTTGAAGAGGGTCCAATAGTACAAAATAGGACACTTTGAGCATAAAGATATAATTCTCATGGATTGAAATATTTCAAATATGGTTACATATGTCAATATGTAAATATTAATAATAATAAACTTACTGGTCACTTTTGGAGGGTCCTAGGGAACCGATGCCTTAGAACTGATAAAGAAAAATGATTGGTACTATCTTCTATCTCTGGTTAAAAAAATATTTAATGAGGACAAGTTTCTCTTTATAAAGTTTCAGCTAATATAAGTGAAAAAAATGATGAAATATCACCATTTTGCAACATCTAATGAATTACTGGATTTAGACAATGATCATTAATGACTGCTAACATTAAAAGAGAAAACTAGACAGTATTCCTGCTGATAGAAATACCACCTAATGGTCTTGGTAAGAAGCAATATGACCTGAATCCAAAAAAGAAAGCCTCAATATAGAAATACCAATGAACAAAAAACATCATGGTGGTACAACCAGCAAAAATTAGATTGTGGAATACTCTATTGGATAAATGACTAGTTTTTTTTTTTTTTCAATAATAGAGAGGGGGGAAGACACACATTAAGAGAAATATAGAAGACAAATCAATTAATTGTAATGTACAGACCTTATGCTAATCCTGATTTGAGCAATGTATGGATCTTAATGCTAATCCTAATTCAAGCTTAGTTTTAAAAATATTAATAAGATTATTGGAGAAATTTGAAAACAAACTATAAAATGTTATTAAAGAAATATTACTGGTTTTTATGTAGGACAATGACATTGTGTTTCTTTATCTTCTAGGGATACATGCTGAAATGTTAACGAATGAAATAATATGATGTCTGGCATTTGCTTCAAAATAATACCTGGGGAGGGAGAAAATGTAGGGATGGTGATGAAACAATATTGGCCATGAGTTAATAATTATTCAAACTGAACAGTGAGTATACAGAGGTTCATTATACCATTAGTCTCTTATTACTTTGACATTTTCCTTCATAAAAAGTTTAAAAATATTCTTGTTTGAAATTTGGCCATGAACATTAGATCACTTTGGGAAATCCTTAAACAATAAAATTCATGCTGCTAAAGTTAGGGTACAGATTTAAATCGTAGAGCAGATAACAAGTCATTTGAGGCCATTTGGTCAACCTTTTGTCATCCAACCAGATTTTACCAAAACCATCCATTCCATTCATTTCTAAAACACTAGCACAGCTGTCTTTTTCTATTTTGTTGCAATACTCCATGATGCAACCAGACACGAATAGACTCAGTGAGGAAAACAGAAGGAAGCATTAAAAAATCAATTTGGCTTTTCTCCCCCCTACTTTTATTTTGGTAACTTTACCAATTGAATGATACCTGCAAATTAATTTTATCAAGCAAGCTTTTTCCCACTATACAAACAGCTTTCCTCATCACAGCCAGTAGGAAAATGAATCTTCCAAAGTAATTCTCTCCCAATTCTCGCTATACAATCCACACATCTGTGACAGTGTACTGTCTCACTGAAAGCTCACAGCAAAAGCCACCATGATATAAATACATAGGAGCATAGAGCATGCTGAGCTCTTCTCTGATGGCCCCAAATGATTCTAAGGCATATAGTTATGACTGGGGGATACCCTGAGGGTTGACTATAACTAATGAAATACCAAATATATCTAATTAATTGCATTGCTCTGGGCTAATGAGAGACCAAAAATTTCCAAACCCCTTGAGATGGTCATATTTATATAGAATTGTGCTACATCCCTACTCCTTTATCTCTTGTGCCTATCTCTTTGGACAGCTTAGCTACACCGATTCAAACCTAACCATTGGGATTCTTCTTATGAACTCTGACAAAAAAGGGCCAGCATTATGGCGATTCCTGTCTTGCATTTCATTAGAAGCTGTGCATTTTGGGTGCTCAGAAGTAGAAAATACTACATTCAGCCTACATTATCAATAGGAGAATCAGGCCAGATAAGATTTTACAATTATTATCAGCATACAAATTACACCCAGAGATATGAGAAACTTCCCCCCATAAGCACATACTCTAATGTAGTTAAAAATTTAGATTTGATAATAGTGAAGAGTGAAAGACATACATTTGTTTGTTATATTGGAAATCAGATTGTTAATATGGAATTACAGCCAATGCTCAATTTATCCATGGTATGGTATGAATAAGTACAATTCACACATAACTTAAAACTTTTGCAATTGGTTTCAATATTTTCCTTCACCAGTTCTTTATTAGAACTAGAAATATGAACTAATAATTCTACTTCTCTTCCTTATACTGCTTATCTTTCTAAAAAGAAAGAAAAAGTGATAGGCAGTAGAGTCATATGGCAGAATGAGGGGGGGTAAGAGGGAGCAGAGGGAGGAAACAGGACATATAAGGAGCAGGAGGAAGAAAAGGTGAGCAGGCTCCAAGAAAAGGAAGTGGGAAGGGCGGCTTACAGAGGGCTATGGGAAAAAAAAAACCAATGTAATGAAAAATGCAAATTGGGATAATTGAGTGAATGGTATTTATACCTCATTTCTCTTCAAGAATCCACTGTTAATGATTTTCAGTAATGCATAATTTCAATATGGTATTCTGCTGAACATACCAACATATCTGTTAGATACCAAGTTATGGTGCTCACGATCATAGGATCTATTTGCATGCAAGAAGCTGCGCAACCTTATTAGAGAATGAATAGCCTGCTGTGTTTTGTAGTCTCAGGTAAATTTTTATGGCAACTTCAAAGGAGTTTAGGTCCTGAAGTTCCTTAACACTTCTGTTTTGAAACAGAAATGTGTGTACTTCCTTTTGGCTAACATCCAATTTAACCAATAGCAAATTGAGCTAAATAAGAAATCTAAAGATATCTTGGGGAAGCATCCAGTATTTTTTGGATCCTCAAGCCAATCAAAATGGAGAGAACAGAAGGTAGTGTAGGTGGAATAAATGGGGCCTAGTTGCTGGCTCATCAAGTAATCATAATAGTCAAAAACATCTAACCATCAATTTGAAAAATAACTCTGTTCATTTGATAGCTGGAGAAAGAACTCAGCAAGGAGCTAGCATAGAAGACAATAAGGTCACCACTCAGAGGACTCACCTGTCTTTCCCAGTTTCCTTCTTAAAAACGCCATCACAGTAACTCATGCGCTTCTCTGTGGTCACGTAAATTTGGGCATTTGGGTAGATGTCAACAGTCTTTTTCAGCATGTTGTAAACAATGCCATTGCCGTCTTTCCTCATATTGCGGAAAGGGCCCCAAATGACATAAATAGTAGCATTTGCTTCCTTGAAAAAATAATCAGGGTTTTTTAGCAAAAGAGGAACGCTGGTATGGGACACGACTCGAATCATTGTCATGCGGCCAACATCTTCTTCATAGCCCTTGGTGGGGGCATTGTTCATTCTCCAAATGCAGGATGACTGATCTATCTCATTCCCCACCTTCTGGCCAACCATCTGACCTGAGTTTGACACTATGGCGCAAAGGTCACAGTCCAGTTGCAAAGGCTGAAAAACAGAGAAATGAGACAGGGGAGAGATATGTAAATGAGTAAGTTCCAGCTATCCAAACAAGTTCCTCTGAGAAAACGAAATTCAGATATCGTATATAATAGCCGAATGTGGGATTTCCTGAAATATATGGGCCAATCCTACAGTAGCCACCACACATTATCAAGCTAGGGGCATGCTTCCATTTAAAAAGTGAATACAGATTGCTAGAAATAATTTTAATTTCTATCCCCTTATGTCAGTTTAAAATTAAATGGAAAAATAGTCATTTGTTTTCCATTCTAAATAATGACTTTTTATTCAAAACCATAATTTCAAATGAAATAAGGCAATAGGGGGAAGATTTGATCTCTTTAATAAGGACAGTGGCTAAAAAAAGAAATGCAAAGGGAGTATATCCAGGCATCAATTCTGTATTTTGCTTGTATTTATGAATAGTTATGTAGCAGTTGATGAAAACATGAAAAATTCAGCAAATGATGAGGTTCTGAAAAAGATGTTCAGAACCAAGACCTAGTTAAGACAAGTCTCAGGCTGGCAAATATTTTACAAAAACCCTTAAAAAATTCCCTGTATCACCATGTTAACTGGCCTTTGTGTTTCTATTTTAGATGGATAAGGAAAGGCTTCTTTTAAGAACTCAGGGAAGGAATGTAAAAGAGATAATCATCTCTAGTGCTGGTCTAACCACCACCCTCCTTGTTTTAAACCAATTACATAACAGAGACTCATAGAGGGTAAGCACCAGCTTCTACAACTTGTAGATGATAGATTCAAATTGCAGTGGTAGATTCAAATTTAGATCTTCTAACTCTAAACCCATTGCTCTTTCCATTATCCCTTGCATTCCTTCCTCCCAGGCAAACCAAATAAATTCCTTTTGCCACTTTGCTCCTATGTGAGGAAAAGTCACCCTACCTTTTAAAACAGTGATAAAGGAGCAATGCACTCTGTTGATATATATATCTTTCTCATCTTCCTTCTATTAGATCCCACATTTTGTATCTGACATTTGATCCTGTATTTTTATGGTGCCTCTTGGTCATTGGTTCTTCTCACACTGGGTACTGCCCTTATTTTATTAGTTATGTTGTATTTTATTGTTTATTCATGTCTGTTCACGATATAGTAAACTCTGTAAGAGTCAATGTCTGTCTTTTTCATTTTAATCCCACTCCCCAGAAGTCCTGGGATTACTATAGGAGCCCAGTATATAGTGGTTAAGTTGGGAAATGAGAGCAATTGAATGAAAATAATTTATCAGGAGCCTGAACACCGAACTTAGTATTAGGGAAGAAATAGACTTTTCCAAATTCGTTGAGAATTGTTGATTTAGATGAAAGAGAAACACAATCCGGAAGAAACCTATCAATATACAAACAGGTCAATCTAGGTGGTTAGGTTGAGAGGCAAAGTACCTCAGAAAAGTCACCTGTATAATTACCACAAAACTGTAACAAGATGTCTTTCCTACCAGTGGTAGGAATCCAAAGTAGTTATTGAGCAACAATGATGTGCCATGTTCTAGGGGTTGGAGATTATTCAGCTGTAAAATTTTAAGCAAAATTCCGGGACCTCATAGATCTTACATTCCACTGGAAGAAGAAAGGCAATTAATAAATCAGCATAGTATATAATATGTTAGATGAAGATAGCTGCTAAATAGAGAAAATTAAAGCAAGGAAGGGGGTTAGGATACGTGTATGTGTGTGTGTCTGTATGTGTGTTGTCAGAGAGATGACCAGGGAGACATCCGGTAGGCTCTTTTGCTCAGGAGCCTTCAGAACATTCTGAATAGGGAAGTGGCTGATCTGCATTATATTTTAACAGCCCTGGCTGTGGTGTGGAAAACTGACAAAAAGGAAACAGGTAGAAACTCGGAGAACAGACTACTGCCACAATCATGGCAAGAGATGATAGTGGCTTGGACTAGGTCGGATAGCAGAAGAGGTAGCAAGATCCTGACCACACGCTGAACATAATTTGAAGGTAAAGCCTATTGGGTTGACCAGTAAGATGGACTGTGGGACCTGAAAGATAGGGCGGAATCAAAGATAACTTCAATTTTTAGCCTAAACAACTGGAAGACTAAAACTGGCTTTACATGAGAAGGCAAAGGCTTTAGGAGGAGCAGGATCAGCAGAGGAGAATGAGCTCATTTCCAGACCTGTTAGATTAGAGATGTTTTGAACACAGACTCCCCGCAGCTAATGTTATAACAAAACTACTCAAACTGCTTTAAAACACTTTTTTTTCCTAATTATTGAAGTAATACGGGCTCATTGTGGAGAACTTGAAAAAAAAATAAATAAAAGAATAAAAACTCTTCATATTTCCACCACTTGACAACTGTTAAAATATTTTGTGTTATTTTCCCCCTTCTAGATATATTAGGTTGAGAAATACTCTTTATAAAATTTGGCAATCTTGGTTTTTCAACTATTTCACACCATTAAACTTTCCCATGCCAGTAAACAGTCCTTAGAGATGTATTTTTTAAAGATTTATTTATTTATTTTGGGGGAGGAGGGGGCAGAGGGAGAAAATCTTCAAGCAGACTCCCCACTGAGTGTGGAGCACCGAGGCGAGGCTCAATCCTAGGACCCATGAGATCATGACCTGAGCTGAAACCAAGAGTCGGACGCTTAACCGACTGAACCACCCAGGCGCTCCTCCTTAGAGATACTATTAATGCCGATACAATATTCCCTTATGTGGACATACCATAATGTACCTATTTGCCTACTGCTGGGCATTTGGATATTATCTAATTTTTTCCTTTATAAAATTGCTTTGATGAACATCCTTGTGTTTCCCACTGTATTTTGGATGCTAGCAGTTATTAGGTTAATTTAACTTTACTTCTTTTAGTTTTTATTGTGCACCTGTGAAATATGCTAAATGGACAAATATTTCTATTTGTTTAATGTCAAAATGAAGGATTTTGAAAAAAAACTTGACTGGTTAAGTCCACAAAGGTCCGCTTATGAAGTTTCTTTTTTTCCTATATAAAAAGAGATTCATTGAACTGTTAGAATCATGTAAGGTTTGAACAGGGCTGGACATGAAACAACATAGGCTCAGGCATGGATTGGACATGCCACTGAGGTCTCGCCCTTTATGAAGTGTCTTAAAACTCAGCTATCAAAGGGACTGTCCATCACCCCTGCTACAATAAGAAATCTGAACAGCAGGTTAGAATAGGTCTGCTCAAGGTGGGTGAGTATATTAGGGACCTTGGAAATGGGGTTCTGTGGGTTGGTGCCATAGTGAAGACTTCACTGATGGCCAGATGGGGGCATAAAGAGGCTGCCTCTTGGGATGGGATAGTGATCTAAGACCTTCACGCATCTAGGAGCCTACAGTTTTTCAGGGCAATAAGGAAGAACACAATATTCTTCCTGCCAGACGATTTGCAGCAAGGCCTAACATACATTACACTTAGCTAAGTCCTCCAAACCTACTTAGAGTCATGCAAATCAATGCCTGATTTAAACTGTGTGTATCATATGGCACACTCCAACTTATCACCAAGATGCATATGGTTCAGGGAGGTTACATTCCATTTTCTGTTCCAAGAAGTTGCTTCACTGCATAATAAAAGCATTTTTGGGTATGGTCTCCACAAATTAAAAAAAATCAAAAAGAACAAAGATACAAAGAGTCTTGTATGTGTTCTGATCTACAAATTTGCATCAGATTTCCTAGTCGTTGAGTGAATTAGCTGGTTATGCTGTAACAAGCCTTAATTTAACTAATAAGAATCAGCATACTGGTTTCACTTGACAATTGTAACCTCTGAAAGTGATCAATTAAGACATCACAATCTGTTTCAGGACAACATATTGGGAGGCCGCAGCTGTGCAGATTATGAGGTCAGCAGCTGACTAACAACTTGAGGGCAAACATTGGCAACCACAGCCTCTTGTTTATATAACAAATATGTAATTGGGCCGAGGGCTAGGAATGTAATGGCTTGGGGGATAGGTGGTGATCTTTAAATCGTCCCTTTCCTTTATATATTGTCACCATAGCCAGAGTCGTAAGAGCCTTTCATGTACCTATCCTGCTTAGCCACAGTCTGCCTAGCTGCCTGACATCCTAAATGAGGTGCCAGGAGACATGGCTGCATATGGTGATGCTCTATTTGCCACTTGGTCACAGGGACCATTTTACAGTATGTTAGGAGAGCCAGGCTGGATGAATGTAACAGTCCTAATCATAATCAGAAGCTTCAGGTAACACCAAGAGCTTGTTAAGGCCCAAGGGACTCATTTATATATTTGAAGACACTTCAAACTATGGTAAGCCATGATAAAAAAGAAAGAAATACCTAGGCTTGAATGGACGGTTTGACCCAAGAGTCGCTCTTATCTGGTTATCTCAGTTCCTTTATTAGCTTTATCACTGCATCTTGTGATCTCACCTTTCTTTGTTAAAATGTACTGCTGTTTCTTGAACTCGTTTATATTATTTGACTTGTGGCCCTTGCTCAAAAATGTATTCCATATGCCTCCACTCGCTCAGTTCTGCCTCGGTAAGCAGTTTCTTCCCAGATTGAGGCCCTGGATTTTCTGAGACCTCTGGAAAGATTTAGCCAGCTCCACTGTACCAAGCCCTATCTTAATTTTGAATTCTCCTTTTTAGTTGACTTGTCCTTACATTTTTGTTTCTTTTCTTTAAAAACAAACTTGACCCTTTCATCTTTTTGTCTTGTACACGCAAAGCATCATCAAGCCAAATGCTTTGGTTGGGCTTGCGCTGTGTCTATAAACTGATATCGCCACAAATATTCAGCCGCCTGTGTCTGGGCAACTGTGTCCCTGTTAAAAGCCCACAAAAGCCCACAAACATCAAACACGTCCTTTCCTTCTTTTTTTTTTTTTTGAGATTTTATTTACTTATTTATTTGAGATAGAGCAAGAGAGAGCATGAGCGGGGGGGCAGAGGGAGAGGGAGAAGCAGACTCCCCGCTGAGCAGGGAACCCGACACAGGG